ATTATAACATAACCAAAGTAAAGCGCGCGCTCTGATTGGTCAATTTAGCGTCCCCCATTTGCCCATGGGTGTACGCTGCTGACGTGAGCAAATGCAAAGACTATTTTTCCGCGCGCGCTTGTTTTTTCTGGTCACGTAAGATTTGTTAAATAAAAGGGAACTCTTTAGCTACAATGTATCAATGTTATGTTATAAAACAAATGGTAAACACCACAGCGTACACTATTGAGTTATGGATGCACTTGGGAGGTTTGCTAAGCACTCAAGAAGCTAGAGTCGCTCTCGGCTATCGCCTCGAGCGACTCTTACGCTTCTTTCGTGCTTAGCAACCTCCCGCGTGCATCCATAACTCAATAGTGTACGCTGTGGTGTTTACCATTTGTTAATTATGCAATAGTTATTTAAAATTACAGAACAAGCGAGAAACTAAAGCGCCCTAATTGGGCAAAACCTATTGTTTATTGCACGGCAAACCCATAGTTATTTCATAAAGATTGTAGACAGCTTATTCTACCCACTTGGGATGATGAAAGAAAACGAGAGCAGTTTGTAACACACTTTCCTCCAGATCTTGATTTAAAACTTCTTCTCGTGTTTTACTGACATCCCGCAGATAAATCGAGAGAAAGTGCGGTCTATTGCTAAAATTATGCATGAAATACCAACAACCCGTGTTAAGCCGGTTCCCTAGATTGTTTAAAACACAAAGGCCGGTTATTTACATGAGGTCTGACCCAAGCTATGGTTTTGTGCAATCAGGCTCTCGCTATAAGAGGGTTGAATGTAGCAAATGCATTTCCTTCCAGTTAGCGTTCTTCCCTCTTGAAGTTGTTAACAAAAATCGATGTAGAGATAAAACAACGGCTAAACTTTTTTTTGAATAATCAGACCAAAGAGTCATAATTCGGCTGCTGTACTCTAGGGGTGAACGATGTGATATTTAATAATTATGCGCTGAAGCCTGGGTAAATATTGTTGAATAATCCCTGTGATGAAGTCGAGGCGAATAACTGTCTAATTATGATTGATGAGGTCCTTTCGAATCTCCGCAGTATATTCTGTAGATAAATGAAGCACTGCGTACACTTTGATACAGTTGTGAAGATTACTCGTATCAACATATTTCAACATTATTTTATTTCAATCAGTAAAAACTCCATATCTTTCATTTAAAAAGTTTTCTGCCAATCTTTCAGCATCTATTTTGCTCTTCGCAGTTGAATTTTCTTTTACCGCGTCTATCATTTCCTCGGAAACAATAAAAAAAAAACGTACGGCAGCCATTTTGTAGTTTAGCGCAACCTGCCATAATCAATCCGCGCGAGGTAGTTATGGCGAGATATGACGCAATCTTCGACCAATCAAAGAGTGCACATCTCCACAATCACACGAGTACGTACAGTTAGATAAATACTTACAGATAACAATAGCTGCCGGTCCATATTGATAATATTTCCTGTTGGTCATGTATATAGCTATAACAATGCGTCTCATTGCAATCGACTGTATGATAAATGAAGATAACACACATCATGAACTATTAGTTTAAACTTGAACAGACCTACGTCACTAAAATTTTTCTAAGGGAGTGGGGGAGGCTTCAATCTGTTCATGCCTTGTTACACCCAGTTTACCTACCCTCTTGTCAAGTCAACATCCACACTGTGCATTACTAAAAGCGACAAATTTCATGCGGGTAAATTCTCCGCGGAAACGAGCACAACAGAACCTGCCCCACGCTAGTACCCTTATATCAAAAATTTTTATCTTTTTCAGGGATTTTGAACGCCCGGGGGCGCTGCCCTTGGACATTCAAAATCCCTAAAAAAATTTTTTCATTTGCCATCGCATGAAAATTCGCGGAGGAAGCCCTAGTAAAGGAAAAGCTTATATCTAACGAATAAGTCCTGGCTATACGTGCGCGAGTTTTTGCTAAGTGTATTTCCAACCGCAACGTTTCTGATTGAAGGTAAAGGCTAGAAATTAAGCACAAAAGATTTCTATGCAAAACAAAGTCTTTATCGCATACTTCTATGCGAAATCGAGAGGGTGAACTTAGTTTTTTTTAACATTTTATCTTGTTAGATAGTGCATCTTGTTGTTTAGGTCAGGCAGATGATTGGGTTAAATTAAACTACAATTTTTTGTATACTTACGTTCTTGGTATACGTTGGCGGTAAATATGTTGCGAAACCCCAAGCAGACATCCACAACTGTCCATAAGAATGGAAGTCAACGTAGGCTTTGATCCGGTCTCGTATGGAGTACATATAGATGGCTAAGTTGTAGGATTCAGGTTCTGAAAATGGCCGCTCTCCCGGGTAAATATCACTACAATGCTTTCCATAATCAGCTCCAACCGCTGTTGATTATATGAGTAGGAAAAATACAGAAAGAAAGCAAATGACAACTGCTTACTACAAGTATGAGAAAATGTAAAGATTTTTATCGAGCAAGTGGGCGTCGCCAAGGAGCAAGTAGATTCATTACAGATCCAGGGGCACACCCCACCAAAAATCTTCTCATGTGACTCCTCCCCCACACTTTCTTTTACCTTGGATCGTGAGGTAGGTCTTATGAAAAACTGAGGGCTGAGATTAAGATATCGCGTCGCTTGTATAAGCATTTACAACCACACGTTCAATGTAAATGCACAAGAGTTTGTCAGGCGCGCTAAACGCGGGAATAGAGTGGGACCAACAAGGACCGCGAGAAATTATGTAATCGCTACTTAGCCAAAAGCTGGAAAACTTCCAACTTCATAAAGCAAAGGAAATTATTTCATGATCTTTCTCCAGACGCAAAAAATTGACTTTTTATGAAGGGAAAGCCGAAACACATTTACGTCATTGTGTAACCAACAGCGATGACAAAGAAGATAAACTTCCAAACTGAATAGAAAGGAGGACATTCTTAGCACGAGCCCAAAAAGAAAATGACTTTCACCACAGAAAAAAAACTGAAACACAAAGGTTAAAGTACTCACTGGCCCATTTAACATTGAAATTCCTGTTTAAGTCAGTTCCAATACATGATGAGTTAACGTTCGGTTTTCTATTCTTTCTCCACAGGCGATCCTGTTACAAAACACAGAAACCATTTTTTTTTGGTCATGAAAACTTATAACCGATGAACACTAATTAAGTGATTATGAGTTTAATCAATATTATGCCACAATTCTCGAAAGTGATTGGTTATCACCCTTCCGATTTGAGCAATAATAGGACAGTTTAACCTGTCTTGCCTGTGTGAGTGAACAGAACACATCATGTGCGCGTGTTGTTGTCGCACATTTCTACGAGTTTACTTTTGTTTGCTTCTTGTTGTTGTTTTTTTTTTTATGAAAACGTATAACCGACGTTTAGTCTCTTTCTTAAATTTTGTCATAGTTTTGATTTATTGGTAACATGATTTCGTGTCGACCAGTTCAGTTTGTAATCATACTCGTGATTAACAAATCGGACTCCCGCTTCCTGGTCGTCCGATTTTGTTAATCACTCGTATCAGTACAGACCGAATTGGACTCCGCTGGGTCATATTACCAATATAAACCACATTATAATTATTTTAAATGCTACTCAAATATTAAAGAAACGATAAACGCGTCTCTAGGCACTTCAGACACCGTATTCTTTACCATTTAACCTCCACGAATGACAAGCACCTTATATCTCCTGACAGTTTCAATCATGAATCAGGCCGTGATTAAGGTTTTAAGATAAAAGGAAATGGTCATAGACTTAAAAAGAAGCCCTTCGTTGTTAAACAAAGTCAGTACCGTGGGAAATTTATACAGAACAGCATGGAGAATGTGCACACATGGTGTAAAGAGCTGATCTTGTTGATCAAGCTCCTTGCGATATGTCCTTCGCTTTGATTGTTATAATGACTTTGGATTTGGGTTTCTAACTCTCAGTGAGAAGGCGCTCTACTAAATCCGGTGGAGACTGTAAGCGTAACTTACCGTTTTATGAGTGTAAATATATCCATCCACATTCACTACTGGCACTATAATCCATTCTAACCTATTCACTAAATGCCGGATCGATTCATCAGACGAGTACTTGAGGACCAGCTGAAACAATAACACTAAGAGTTAGTTCAGTCCCCAGGGGTAAGAAGACTTGAAAAATGTCGCCTGAACTTCTGAGCCTCATCGTTTGCGGCCAGTTTACATTTTCTTCATCCTACACCATCTTTTTCGATTTTCGATTTATTCTTGCTTCTGCGGCGTTTGTCTTCCTTGGAAATTATTTACAGCTGGGTCTCCTTGTCAAATTCAAAATATTTTTTTTGCAGTTCCTTCAAAATGGTTTCATTATTTTTCGATACCACTTTGTTGATTAAACAAAACTATCACACTTTTTGGCTTGTTTCCTGAAATTGCTAACAAATAATCGCTCAATAATCGTTCAGCGCGTTGTGATGATATAGAAAGATAGTTTTTTCGCCTTGTCTCGAGGGAAGGGCAAAGGGAAAAACCAGAGTCTTAATAAGGAATCGTAACAGAGGCCTTTGGATTCAGGGCCCTCATCAAGATCACCTTCTTAGCTGTTGCGTGACAAGACCAAAAAACCGCTACGGAGAAGCATTGTCGAGGAAACAAATGACAAATCATGATTGTCGTGATTCATCACACAGTAGGTTGTAAAACACGAGGAACCCTTCCTAATTGATCTCACCTCTCTAGCAACATACACGCATGACGAAATAGAGATCCACTCTCGCGCATGTATTCCACAGTTTAAGAAAATCACAGGTTTAGTGGAGTTGGAAATGTTTGACGAAATCTGCGATAAGAAGTTGAAGGATAAGCCACAACGTAACGAATATTTAACGTAACGAATATTATACAGGGTATAATTTGGATATATCAACAAAGTTGAAATGGTAAATTGGCCACCGTAATGATTACAAAAGCTGACGTTTCGAGCGTTAGCCCTTCGTCGGAGCGAAAAATTATACAGGGTAGCCCAGTTCAGCTAATAGCTGGTTTAAATGGAGCCCTGTCGCACCCACCCATCCCACCCCAGGGGAGGACATCCACCACACAGTAATCTCGCGCGTGGGAAATTAACGTCTCCTACCCCTAGCTCTGCAGGAGACGGGGCCTACGGTTTTATTCGTCCCTATCAGAGAAGACTAGAATATCTATCCATTTCTTAATATTATAGAAAGGTAGCAAATTCTCCTCAGTTATTTTAAGACCATGAGTATTGGTCCGGCCGGGGCTCGAACCCTCGACCTCCCGCACTGCACAATCCGGCGCTCTAACCAATTGAGCTAACCGGGGAGTTAGGAAATAAACTTCTATTCTTTTATTTTGCCCTCCCTCCCCTCCCTCATCTTCTTTAAATTACATAGACTTGTAAATTGGAGGGGAAATTTTTTTCTTAAAGGACTCATTTGAATTAAGTGTCGAATAAACACAACCAATGTAATCACAACGGTCAATGGAGTAAGGGAGATTTCACAAGTAACCAATGAGAGCCGTCTATTTTCTCTCTTTGACGTAGAGGCGGCATTCACTTCAGAATGGTCCTATGAAAATTTAACTCTGGTCTCCCGTTTTTAGAAGAGGAAAATATGAAGTAACCATAATTAGTCACTACTGGTTTAGGAGCACGTTAAACCCACGTGTTGATTTATTGCTCCGCTTATGGAATATCCTCGTACGCCATGTTCCGCCCATCGGAATATTTTCGTCATTCTTATTACATACCTTTATGCCATACATAGTCCTGTTCTCGTAGGTTTTTCCTAGACTAAATACTTCCACTAAGCTTTTATTCAAGCGTTCGAGCCGTTTCATTTCATGAACGATCTACAAAAAGAGAACAAAGCGTCTGTATGTATTCACAAGTAATAACTTTCGACTCTAGATCTTCAATCCAAAAGGGATGAACCATTTCGAAACATTGTTAAAACGTGCATGCAAATTTTTTTTTCTTTCCGCAGTTTGGTATTCCAAAGAATAACCGATCTGAAATTTGTCTTTGAATAAGCTGCAAATTCGCTTATGGACGTCGCCATTTTGAAAGAACTTAGTAACCTTGCTGTACAAGATTCAAAATGGCGGCGTTTCAGTCAAACTCTCAGCACATACGGGGACTATTTTTGAAAGGCTACGTCGCCATTCGCCGCCATTTTGAAAACCACTTAGTAAACTCGCTAAGCAAGATTCAAAATGGCGCGTTTCAATCAAACTCTCAGCACATACGGGGACTATTTTCGAAAGGCTACGTCGCTGTTCGCCGCCATTTTAAAAACCACTTAGTAAACTCGCTAAGCAAGATTCAAAATGGCGCGTTTCAATCAAACTCTCAGCACATACGGGGACTATTTTCGAAAGGCTACGTCGCTGTTCGCCGCCATTTTGATATAAAATAGCGAGGTGTCAACTCCGGGACACATTTGCACAGATTGCCAATCAAGAGCACATTAATATTGGTGATCATTCATATTATTTCATACCACCGACAAACTCACCTGAGCATATGAGCGAAATGCTCCATTGAATGAAACAGAACGGGGCCTCATTCCTTCAACTTTGATTTGTCGCTCCACGTTTCTGATTTTCACCGTAAAAGGGATTGATCTTTTGGCCAGAATATGTTTGAATTCCCGGAGTTTGCTGCGTGGCACATGAATGTCAACAGGGTTACCAGGCTTGCTTGGGTAGGTCCAAAAATCTAACTGCGAAATTAAAAAAATTTAGAAAAAAAGGTGGACAGCTTTTCTGAAATTTTACAATAAATTCCGCCGTCATGTGACGTGATGACGTCATCACATGCAGTTTCGTTGATGTTGTTGTTGTTGTTGTTGTTGTTAGTTTTTGTTTTGCTTTGCCTTATTTCGCTTTGTTTTGTTTTCCAAGCCGTACCAATGGTAATGATCCTAATGTTGTAACTATCCGTGGGGCACTAAGTTAACAAACAGTATATAAGAAGAACACGAATAGCGTAGAGTTTTTACACGTCATTATCCGCAATGTCTCCTCTTTACAAATGAACAAGTATGGCCCTTCTTCCGTGACAACAGCGAAACTATTTGAAAATTGAATCGATTTCAACGGTAAACTTTCATCCTATCAGTATCTGTCAGAGATATAAATTGGGGAACATCAATGGATATTCTCTAATAAAAAATGGGGCACGTTTGGTCTTCTGATACGTGTAGACCAATTGGACAAGAGCGAAAACGTTTGATGGATTTTCATAATTATCACCTAGGAGCTTCCCAGCTTGGGAGATACCTCCCACAACTGGGGTCAATATCGTTTAAAAGAAAGGAAACATCTGTTACGCAAGAGGATTACAATTTCCTCAAAGGAAACAGGTTCATTCTTCAACCCACAAGCATTTAAAATTTTGTAAAATCACCGTGAGGTTGTTTCCCTTGTGCAGCAAATTATTTAGAAATCTAATGTCCTTTTCTGTCCTGGGAGTGACCTGTAAAACTTGGTCTCTATAAAGGAAAGACACACTGTAAAAATCAGTTTGGATAACATTCAATACCAAAAATAATAACCACCTTTTACTCCCTAGAGCAAACAGCGCGAATGCAAAAAATGCACTGCTGAATACAAGAATGAGACAATTTGGTTTTATCAACTGAGTTGATAATGTAAATTGGACATCGTAAAGGGTTTTTAAAGCTGACATTTCGAGAGTTAGCCCTTCGTCAGAGCGAATAAATACAAGAAGGAGAAAAATGATTATTAAATCATTAAAATGAAAAAGTAAAGCAAATACTGATTTAAAAATTAAAATAGAGGATTTAGTTTGATTAAAGACCACATTCTCAAAATAATTTTGATAAAAAAAAATTTAAAAAAATTATAAAATTGTAAACATTAATAGCAGACAGCGATAAGAAAATAAACTGTGGCTTTGATAGTAAAAACGTTATTTTCCTTGTGCCAAGTGATGAAACGGATATAGCTGTATAACCAGATAGAGAGGATAACAAATTTAGAACTGGCTACAGAAGTGTCTTGCATACGCCACACAGGCCGCAGACAATTGTTTTTCCAAATTTTTTTGGTAGGGTATAATGAGGGAGATAACTATAATCTTACAAAGCGTGAAAAAGAATTTGTGATAAGGATTGCGTGACGATGAGTACTCCGTGACGAGAGGGGTACTTCACGTACGGAATCTGCTAGTACTGCGTCGGGCTTTTGAACAACACGTAATCCACACCTCACGTTCCGAATTTCGCTTTTAGTATACAGTACAGTGTTGTACCCATATCATGATACCATATATTATCTGTACTGTACGAAAAGCGCCAATCAGCATTCCGACGCTCGAAATGATTTCGTCATGGTTTAGAATGTTAGCAAAATGAACTGCAAACTTCGCTTCAGTCTCGAACTCACAAAGGTTCCGAACATCGCATCGATGGAGAGTCAAAAAAAGTGAAAAGTCTAAGGTTCAGCGTTTGAGGAATCTCTTTGGTTCGATGACGTTTTTTTCTAGAAAATTCTCCCACAATCTCCGGTTGTACTGTAATTTATTAGTGAATTTTTGCTACTCATTTCTTGTTTTCATATATGCCTTCTTTCGATTTCAGTGTTTAGGGAATCTTTTTCTATCATCCTAGTACCTTGAAAGCCAGGCACGAGGGTAATAAATTCATTGGGTATATTCCAAGGTTAATATGCGCGAGGCGGGCCTATCAGCATCTGTCATTGAAAGATCGCTAAAGCTGATGATAGATCTCTGAGAGCTGTTGTACCGCTTAGAAGGCCGCCCTTAATCACAGATTGAAACTAGGGACTTAAATATGAGTACCACTTTAGTTGTACTTGCTTATCAAACCGGCAAAGAACACTACTCTTGTAGCAGAAAGATAAAGAGTTAAGTCTATATATATCGTACCGCCGTACGGGCCATTTTGATGTCTGAAAGGAAGAGGTTATTGAATATCATGTTCGATGTTTACTAACTCAGTTGAATGGGGAGACGAAGTATAACATCGGACAATAGCAATCATTCCGCTCGATTCAAAATATCTTACTTGCGGGATAATACCCCAGTAGTGGTTATGCGGATTTTTCGCTTTGGAATGTTTAAGACTTTAGAAGTTGCAAGCATTATGATGGATCAACCAGAAATGGTTTAATCTACGTGAAAGATGTTTTTCTTCGAGAAACTCACCTATGGTACATCTGTTGTCTCGCCTCAGTGGCCTGTATACATACCGTCAACACCAATGCGGCGAGGATTTGGCAAAAGGCAAAGGGAATTTTACCGTTCATCGCTTTTCGTGGTCGTTCACTGAAAAAGAAAGAGTGTATTTGTGCATCTGACGTGTAATAAGTTAATAAACGGGAATTTACAATAGGGTATTGGGTAAATGAAACTGATATGCGTCTTCACGTGGTGAGGTCACCGCGCGCGGGTTGGCTGACCTTGTGTGCGCAATTTAGCGTCACGTAAGGATCAAGACTCCAAGTCTACTTGAACTTGGCTTTAAGCATGATGAGTACTTTTCGCCTACGAGATAGCAAGAGGCCTTGAGCAACGCGAATCGGGCTAGGCGGCTGCAGGGGACTAGGTACCGATTATATGCATGCACATTATTAGTTTCCTTTCATAAAAAATCTTAAGACTTCCTCTATACACCTTTATGAAAGCATATTCTGGGAAACCTGAGTCCCTATGGAGACCAACCCCCAAAGCTTTGATTTTCACATTACGACGCGTTACTGAGCCGCAGAGAACGGTGCACTTTCGAACGATCATCGCTTGAACAGCGCAGATGAAGCAGAAAACACAAAGGTTTAATTTAAGTCATTTTAAGTCAAGTCCAATGTCAAGTCATTTTTAATTTATTTTAATTAGCTTCGCAATCAGGTAGAACGTTCATATTTCCCGCCATCTTGACGAAAGGCAAGAGGTAACAATCGCGAGAAATACCGCTGACAACTTGCTCGCCGAATTTGGTCTTAGCAACCGCGCATGTAGTCACGAAAAGCCTCCCTTAAACATTAAGATTGTAGATTCTGAAAAACGGCTTTTGAAAATAATTTCTAATCATTTATAGCATTTAACAGGTATCTGTTACAGATCTTTGGAAATTTTTGGTTAAAAAATATCTGGAAAATGGACCGATGACAAAAATAATATTTTAGAGAGTGCAGGCAGGCTTCGATGGAGCAGCTACTCAAACAAACGGAAGTCGAGCTTGTTGCAAAAGCGCAAGACAACACAAACAACCTTTAATTCACGGTCATTCAAAAAAAAGTTCATTTTTAAAATTTTGTCAGACGTTATTAAACATATACTTAGGCGCTTTTAAATGCAAAAGAAATCAAAGAACAATTCTTTTGCTTGTTTGCCTCAGCTGCCGTCGTTTGAAAGGCGCCTTAAAAGCATTATTCGAGTGATCTCTATTCAGAGGGAAGAAATCGTCACTCTTTTACCTGTACTCTTGAAAGTGGTTGCGTTCTAAAGGTGTCTTCGAAATGCATCGCGCTTTGGTTTTTATTTTTTTGTTTTGTGTTCTTGGGAAGTGCCTTTGCGAAGAACGTGCAAATTTTAAAGGGTGAGTTACAGCAAAATGTAAGTTAGATATCGATGGTGCATACGCAGTCGTTGTACTTAAGGAAAGGCTTAAAAATATAAAAATGCGATTGCCGTGGATATATTACAGGTTTGTTACTTTATCTTGGGTTCAATTGTGTTACATTTTGTTTGTCAATCCATCGCCCAAATTAAGAGCTGTGAAATCCCACGAGTTTTTTTAAACTAAAATTTTACCTGCTTCCCCTATCCTTCGGCTTCACCGAGTACATAGTAAATCAAACTTGAATTATTTGCTGAAAAATTGACAAATTTGATTAAGTTTAGAGACTGGACTGATGCGAACACCCTATCGATCCTGGACATATATAAAAGATAGTTCAAACTGCTCAATTTTCCTTCCAAAAAGATTTTTAGAAATCACTGTAAGAGTGCGAGTAAATCGAAAAAAATTACTAAAACATTTTATGGACTTGACAATGGCGGATTGTATGTACAGTGATACCGCTGTGTAAAGTCTTTACACAAGTGAGCTGGTACCTGTCTCCATGGAGCATCAAGTCAATTCCAGGTCCCCCACTCCGTGAGACGAGAATAACATACATCTTGAAAACGAGGTTACATTGTAGGCCCGCAATCGACACCAGGCCAGGGTCAGTGATTATCTTTTTTACCTTTTTACTTCCGAGATCTGAAATTAACTTCTCCAAACTGAGGATTTTTCGTTTGCTTCTTAGTTGTTCATGAGAAAATGCCTTTGAATCAACTCAACAAATCTAAGTCACCTAGGTGGTGTGGTAAAACTGCGAGAGGAATTTATATGCTGAACATTTCAAAAGCAACAGAGGGCAATGTTTGTCTTTCTATGGTCCCATGGACCCACGGGTTAGATTTAGCGAATTCACAAAAGTAGCTATGTTACGTACTGTCTCGAGTTCTCCGAAGCTGTAGAGTGTTCAGATAACATTATATAGAGACGGAAAATTCCATCATTGCTCCGGTAGACTATTTATCAAAATACGAGGAGAGTGTGCATGGTGGGATGGGTGGGTTTACAGAGGGCCATGTGTCAGAAAACTTTTTACTGGGTTAATCATGTATTTACCCTCTTGAAATAAAGAACATTGTATTGTATTGTATTGTATTGTACGTATATTTCACGAGTAGGAAACCTTGATGCGATTGATCAATACAGTCAATGAATTAATAAGAGAATTAGAGAATAAGAGAATGGGAGAATAAATGAGAGAATGAATGAAAGAATAGGAGAATGAGAAAATGAGGGAATGAGAGTTTGATAATTCAGAGTCCAATCCATTTTTTATTTACAATCTCATGAAATGAAATTTGCGTTTTTATTTTGCGCCTTTAGGATTTAGACTTGGATTTCTGGACTCACCCCTCCCATGTAGATGTCAGTGTTGATATTCGTGTGAGCGCGCTGCAGTATCCTCGTCTTACTAAGCTACTGAATAAAGATGGGATTATATTTACCATTCTTATCCCGGATGTACAAGGTTTGTTGGAAAGTGAAAACCCACCTGCATCCCGATCAGCGAGAGCATACGATTATGGTCGTTACAATAGGCTGGATGCGGTAAGGTCAGATCAGAAGATTTGTCAAACATGCCTAGTACTAGTTGTATGCAGGAAGCTTCTCAAAACTCATTCTCGTATTAATGATTTTCACGAAGTTTCGCAAGCATTAAACTCTATCTTGACCCGCCGTATGCGGTGCGTCCGGGTTAAGAATATTTCGGGCTATTATGACAGCTGAACAGCGGTCACGACTTTTAAAAGGCCTAGAAAGTGGTCTGGTATGTATATATATCTATTTATATATATACTATATATATACTATATACTATATATATACTATATACTATATATATACTATATACTATTGTAGCCGTTTAAAGGATTGGATTGCATGATTGAAGTTCATTTAAGGGACCTATAATTCAGGAAAAATAAAATGAATTACGAAATTTTGAACTGTCGATGGAATCTCGATATTTATGGTCAGTGGCTCTTAAAATCTTCACTATTGAATGGCCATATATATATATATATATATATATATATGTATATATATAACAAGTTAAAAGGCCTCGAGCCAACAGTGACGCCGCGCCAGAAGGATCCAAAAGGATTCACAGTCCAAACCTCGATAAATAGTAGGAAAAAAAAAATATATATATATATTAACAAATCATGATTTACATCATCTTAAACCTTTATTCTTGTCGTTCAATACTTCAAGTTGTGAAGAGTTTCGGGATAAAATGGCAACAAAATGCGGTGCAATCTGTTAAACGGCTGCCATGCAGGAGATCGTGGCCAATCTTTCAACTGGCAAGAATGTACCATGTGCAACACCTCTTGCGTTGTAGCCGTTTAAAGGATTGGATTGCATGATTGAAGTTTATTTAAGGCACCTTTAATTTAGGAAAAATAAAATGAATTACGAAATTTTGAACTGTCCATGGAATCTCGATATTTATGGTCAGTGGCTCTTAAAATCTTCACTATTGAATGGCCAAGCCCAAAATGAGTTATATTACTCTCTCTGTCTTAATCGAGGACAGCAGTGGTGGTATGCACAACCATCGGAACATTACAAGTGAATAAACAAATCGATAAAGAAATAAAATAAGTGGATTTTAGCAGTGATATATCCACTGAGTACCTCTTCGTTCGCTTATTTCCGAGTAGGACTTGGGCTAGAAACCGGCAAATTCTCTTTTACTCGGTTAGCATGCATTTCACATTGAAACTGGAGTTTAAACCTGCATGGGGGACTCGGATTTTGATGTTTTTTTTTTCTGAATTTAAACTTTTCTCTTCTATGATAACTAGTGTTGTTTGACTCCAAATTGATATTCGTCATGATTTGTAGATGGTTAAAGAACTCAAGAGCCTTGTTGATTCTCATCAAAATTTGGCAAGATTGGTGACCGAGTTCGGTCGGTCATACGAGAATAGGATGATTTATGCTGTTAAGGTGGGTTTTTCAAAATGCAATTTGTCAGATAGCGTCACTTTACTTTAACTGTCGGTGTACTTTAAATGGAAGCTCATGTCATTCAAATTCCACTGGGATTATAAGATTTAAGTCTAGTAGGAAAAACGAAAGGAACTCTGCCAGCTGTAGTAAAACGACACCATCGTGAAAATGGTCTTTAATGAAAAATTAACCAATGTCCTCGACCAATAATCTTAACCCTCCGAATGGAGGCTAAAGATTACTTTTTTAACTGTCCTGTATCTTATAAAACTCACCGCAAGCCAACTCTAGTTACGAGTCATTATTGCGTGAGGGGAGGGGGATATAAGGAGGGGGATATAGGGAAGGGGAGATGAGGAGGGGAGATGAGGTGGAGGAGATGGAGAGGGGGAGATGGGGAGGGGGATGTAG